CGTGTGTAGATTGTTATCTTACTTCTAAAAGGTTGATTCTGCTGGACCTAAGAGCTTAATCTTCACTGATTTCACCAGACTGTTTGATTTTACAGGCAACGTTAGAGCCAGGAATCACAATTTGGCCCCAGTGTGTCCTTGCATTTGGAGACTTGTGCTCAGTGATCCAGGGTCATTTCCTCATCTTGGCCTGGCCTTAGGACGCTCTTAGAATCAACCCCCTTTGGTCTGGTGAGTCTCTCTCCTTCACAGGGAGCATGGACTCTCCCTGGATGTTTGACACTCTCTCTATTTACTACACTTTAAGCCACACTCACCAGAAGGTTCGAGGTATGGTCCCTTGCTGCCTGAACTCTTGCTCAGTGACCAAAATATAAAGCCACTCAGGTAACACATTAATTCCCACCATGATCTGAACCCCAAACCCAGTACATTTGAATGGGGAGGGATACTAGTGTGAATGCTAATCACTTCAGCTAGCATAGTACTTGACTGTTTACACATTCTGTTCACTTACATTGTTTCATGACAGCAATGATTTCAAATCGCAGGTCCCGACTCTGAATGGTTGAGAAACCACCACCCTTAGATGAAGAGAAGATAGAATAAAGTAGAAAGAATCAGTGTCCACCACATGTCATAAGGATGTCTGTTTGGGCTGTGTATGGATGCACTGGGTAGGGATGTACAATGAACCTGACTGTGGGTCACTGTCAAAGACCCCACGTTGTCACATGCGTGGCTTGGAGGGTTGGTTTGTTGAGCTGCTATCTCCATCCCTACACTGTGTTATTTCAGATGTCTTCAGAAACAATGTTCAAAGAGGGGCAGGTTACTGGATTCCAATGCTTTCATACCAGGGGGCACCCACAGCTTTTAAAAGATTGAGGCTGATTTCTGCATTCACCGACGCAGGACCATCCCCAAGCTGTATTAAGTGGAGAAAGCAAGGACAGAACAGGGGTGTATATTTCCATTTCGAACAAAAATACTGGTGATTCAGGTTGGAGGGTCTCATGGGAAAGGGGAGGACAGTGTCCCCTTTCTGTATGAGCACTGACACCCCCTCCACGTGCAAAAGGAACAGCTCCCGTCCCCACCCCACCATGCGCTGAAGGATCATGTCTGCTGGGGCCAACAGAGCCACATTGTGAGGCTTCCCCTCAACACAGAATTACCACTGGCTACCTGATGAGCCACTACTCAGAGCTCTGCCAAGGCTAGGGCCCAGAGTGTGAGGGACAGTGACCTCAGATAACGCCTGCTTCACAGGAGAATGGGCTCAGCCAGGCCAGCCAGCTGTCACATGCCCAGCCGCTGGGTGAGCTCTCGGTCCTCCTGAAGACCAAGGTGAGATGCTGATGGAGACAGAGCGGCTCTTCTAGAAGCTAGCCTCTGACTCCTCCCCACCCAGGTTCAGACAGGCATTCTGATCAGGTGTCCTCAGTAAATACAAGACAGGGGCCCCTCCCCTGCTGTCTGCCAGGCTAGCCCGCCCTGGGGAGGGAGGCGGTATGGGGCAGGAAGGATGCTTCCCATGTGCAGAGATGGAAGCCAAGCGGCTTCCCCATCCCGGCCTGAGGCTGGAGCATTGTCGTGCTTTGAAACCCCCAGATTGTATTTTGCTAAAGCTTGCAATTTCTCCTGTGTGTGAATGGCACTTCAAATCTGTCTGTAATGGAACTTGATTGAATCCAGCTGTCACCAACTGTTTCCCTGCTGCCCGCCCGAGAGACAGCTGGCCACGTGCCACAGAATCCAGGCTTTCACGTCAAAGAGAGGGGTGAATGCTCCAGTTCCCGCCAAACCTGCCAGAATGTTTTCACTTGCAGGTAAAAAAAAGTGGTGGGGGATGGGGGAAGGGGGGAAGGGGCTTGGGCTCAGGAGTGGCACCATCAAGAGAACTGGACCAGGGATATCAATGGAGGCGGGCTGGCCATGTTCTGAGCAGAGTCCAAAGCCACAGTCACCAACCACACTTCCTTTGGAAGCTCCTCCAGCTCATCCCTGTAACCCAGACTTCCCGGGACCCTGAAATTTGGGACCCACTGGAGACAGCATCTGCCTGTCCCTGCAGAGGGGACATGTCTAACCGAGCCCTGTAACGCAGAAAACCGCAGAGCATTCCATGTAAAAGAGGAGAATAAAGTGCCTGAAATTAGAATCATTTCTAATTCCTTCCTAATTCCTTAAGAGGGGGGGGCACACATAAAGTTACATTGTAACAGTCTGAACTGTTAGCATGGGATGGTGAAGGCTGACAATTCTTTCAACAGCACATTGGTGACAGGTGCTGGGAACCTGAGGGCAGCATGACTGAGTTAGGGCTTCTGGTCTTGAAGGATGGTCCTGGGGGCCAGGAAGCCAGAGCAGGAAGCAGGTGCACTGGAGAGTGATGTGAGTCCAAGAGAAAACTGGTGGCAACTCATACTGCGAGCCAGGCAGTGGAGACGGAAAGAGGGAAGGAATTTCCCGACAGCCAGGTGGCGGGATCAGACTTGCATCGCTGACGCCGCGGTAAAGAGGGAGGTGCTGAGTGAGGCGGGCGCGCTTTTGGCTTTGGCCACAGGGGTGTGGTGGGAGCCCAGCCACAGGAGGAGCAGGACACAGGTGTGAGGAGGGCACATAGAACCAAGAACTTTGTCTGGGCCACCAGTTTGTCACTAAGAACAGGAATAGATGTTCCATGGGAGGTACTGACGGCACCACGGGGTATATTGACTGGAGCTGACTGATTTTGGCTACATCTACGTAGCTAGCGCTCATCAGCTCCAACAGACTTAACATTTAAGGGGCAGAAAAAGAACTCTCCAGCGAGGGGGAGCGGTGAACAGTGTCCCGTCCTGAAAAGATGTCGTGGCAAACACTCATCAGATTTGGGAACTGGGTTGTTGAATGGATTCATGAGGGCAGAAGGCAGACTAAGGACCATGGAGAATGGAACAGAGGACAAACTGAAGATGAGTTGAGAGAGAGGGTGGCTGGGATGGGACACAGAAGAAAGGGGGCTTTTTTAGGATGGCAGGAACTGGAACGTGTTCATCGTCACTGAAGCGAGGTCCCCCAAGAGGGGCGAGAGGTCGGCTTCGAGAGCACAGGGGTGTCAGCCCTGCAGGGGCCCCTCTTCCAGCATCTTCAGGTCACAGAGGCGGCCTCCACAGAGGGCCCCACTGACCACTCCATGTCGGAGTCGTTAGGACGGAACCGTGGGTCTCCCAGTGTGGCCCCTGCCCAACAACCCCCGGAAGGGGTTAGAAATGCCAGTTCTCAGGCCCCACCCCAGACCCGCTCAATCAGAATGTGGGGGGAAGGGGGCCCAGCAACCTGCCTTTTAACAGCCCCTTGGTGATGCTGAGGCCCACTCACACCTGAGACTTGGGACTAGAACAGCAGTTCTCTGGGGAAGGTTTTCAATAAATGCCAATGCCCACGCCTCACCCGGGAGACTCCCATTTCCTTCACGTGAGTATTAAATTAGTATTAAATAGAGTCCTACTGGAGAGCACAGGGCACTATATCCAATATCTTGAAGTAGCCTGTAAGAAAAAAGAATATGCAAAGGAGTACATGAGTAACTGAGTATGTATATGTATATATGTACGTGTATGTACATGTATGAATGAATATATGTATGAATGGATCACTATGCTGTACACCAGAAGTTAACACAACATTATAAATCAGCTACAATTGAATAAAAAAATTAGTATTAAAAAACTCTGGAGGGGTGGGTACAGCTCAGTGGTAGAGTGTATGCTTAGCAAGCACAAGGTCCCAGGTTCAATCCCCAGCACCTCCATCTAAGAAAACCCACAGCTTTCCTAGGTGATTCTGCTGCTCTGTGAGAGTTGGAACCACCAGGTTGGATGAAGAAAAAAAACAGCTGGAGAAAGAAGCAAGCTGGTTTCAGTTTTGGTTTTCTCAAGTTTCGTTGTTCTATTTTGGAGTGCCAGGGGAATCAATCCTTGCAATGGGATGAAATCATTTGCCAAGAATAAGAGGCACAAGGCAGCAGGAAGGCACAGATGGGTAGGATGACCAGTGAAGGGGATGGGAGAGCGGGGCCGCCTGAGTCAGAGCCCAACGGCAAACACCAGCGTCCAACCCCTCTGGTTTGGGTCCGGGTATTGTCTTGCCTCACCCGTTCGTACTTGGCGTTCCTCGTTGTCTGGCCAAACCCCCACGGTGACCGGGGTAGGGGGAGCCCTGTGTCTGAGGGGTACGTTTGGGTGGGGAGCTCTGGGGCACCACTGAAGGGAAGGGGTAAGGAGCTCTGGGGCTTGGGTACAGAACCCTCCAACTGGAAACCTCCGCCCGGGACCGCACTAGTTTCTGTCACAGACTCACTGGGGCTGCTCTTGCCGCAGGTGACGTGCCAGGCACGGGGGCTCTGCAGGGACCTGCGCCGCTCCAGGCCTCCCCCGACCTCCTGGATGCGCTACGGCCAGATCCCAACCTCCCGCTCAGCACCGCCCAGCCGGGTGGGCCTAACAGCGCGCACCCGCCCTGTACCGACGCGGGTAACACGGCCTCCTCAGCGCGTGGCTGGCCCAGGAGGGCCCGAGTCGCCCGTGCCGGCCGGGAGGGAAACTCACAGCTTAGTCAAACCTGCGATTTCTCCCCTCCCCTCTTTCTCTGCAGAAATCCAAACATTATTCAGTCAAAACAAATTCAAACAGCAAACCTCAGTGGAATGATACTGTTGCCAAGTTTCTCCAATTCAGTGCTCACAGACCATCGCCCACAAAGCTCAGGGAGCCTCTTCGAAGATTCCTGTCTTCTTAAATTCAAATAACACATTAAGACACACAAGTAAACCTCTTCACTCCCCTTAACTCTTAACGGAGACCCGCTCTAAGCTTTCCTGCTGCAGAAGGTGCCCGGCTCATGGGTGGGTTACCAGAGACTCGGTCGACCTCTCCCGTGACCTGTGACGGCGGACTGTGGTTGAGGTGAAACTTTTAAAAGTCAAAGGGGGAAAAAAAACACACAGGCAAGACTCACAAAAATTATTTTATTGCACCAAGATCTTGGCAACATCTGGGGCCCCTGGACCCCTGGAGCGGGGCTGCAGGTCGTGGGCCAGGGGCTCTCTGCACATACGGAGCAGAGGTGGGACCAGGACCCCAGCCTAGAGGCAGGGAGCAAGAGGACCCAGGACCACCGGAAGAAGTGACCCCAACACAAACTTAAATTAAACCGATATTCTAAGTCAACCCGGTGACCGCTATTACAAAAGCTTCAGTTACTTATATATGTACACCTAGGGTTTGGACTAATTCTCTGGGCCTGTCCTCTTGCTCCTGGTTTGGCTGATGCCCCTTCCCTGGAGGGAAGGACTCGACTCTGCCCGGCACTGAGGAACGCTGCGGGGCCAGGCCTGTGCTCATCACTGCCCAGGAGAAAGCAGTACGTTTCTTTTGGGAAAAGGATCTACCATCACGGAGCAGTGAAAGGAAGAGGCTGATCTGGAGGAGCAGAGGGAGAGAAAGGAGATAAACTCCGCGCTAGCAAAGGACTGAATTTTTCTTTTTCCACCGCCGAACATGACGAAAACGTGGCTGTGGATGTAAGTCGTAGAGGAATGAATGTCAATCTCACAAGAGGGGGAAAAGCCCTGCCTGTAGAGGCACCTGCCTCCCCTCCCAAGGTGACAGAGGACAAAGCCACAGAGCACTGGGGCAGACCCCTCAGCTTTGAACAAGGTGCAGCTGATATGCAGGGTGGGTCCGCGCAAAGCCCTGCTCACCCGCCGGGACCAGGGCAGCCCCAGCTCAGGCCGCTGGTATTACTGCCCCTACCTTTTAAAAGAGAAATACAAAAACAGGAAGGAAAAACGAAGAGAAACCCCCACGTGAAAAAAGTGATGTATCTCCCATGTAAAAAAATAACGCTTTTTCGATACCACCAAGATCCCCCCAGGCCCAGAACAAGTGGTGAAGCGAAGGGCAAGGCTCCGCGAGGAAGAAAGTCGGGGCCAGACAGGGGCATCGGCCTCAGGCCAGGAGGACCGCTCGAAGGACACGGCAAGGCCGGACACGGTGCATCTCCAGACACCCGGGGAGGGGTTTACTTCTCCACCTTCTGCCACTGGGACTCCCCTCTTTTTTCTGGAAAGCATCACCCTCACTGAGAGTTCCCGTATTTATTCAATGACAAATTCGCAGGCACAGCTTGAGCGAGACAGAAAAGCAACCGTGATCTCCTCAGGTTAGACAATCATCTAAATTCGAAAGCACTCATAAAATGGAGCAAACGAAGCCAGGATCTGCACATTAGGGGAAGGAGACATACTGCTAATGGAAACCACAGGCCTGATCAAAAATAAAGGTTTTATCTCAAGTAGGAAAATAAAAGGAGGATTCTACTCCCAGACCACCACCTCGACAAGGACCCGCGGGTCACTGCAGCTGCAAGGGGGGGTCTGGCAAAGCCATCGCAGTCAAGAGCAGCCCGGAAAGCAGGTGCGTCAGCCCATCTCCGCCCCCGCCACCTGCCTCCCAGAGACGGTCTGGAGTTTCTTGTGAGGGAGAGGCAGCAGCGTGGGGCCGGCCGCGGGCTCCGGCTTCTGAGGGTGGGCAGTAAGGCATAGAGACAAGGGAAGCGGGGAGGCCAGGACGGACTGCAGCACCAGCCGCCGGGGAGGGTGATGGACGGCCCGCTGAGAAGAGGAAGCAACCGCTCGCTGTCCTCTGCGGACTGGAGGGCGCCCTGGGAAGGCATGGCCACTGTCCTCCGAGCTCTCTGCCACCATGGCCCCAGACCAGATGCCGCTGGCCAGGATCCGGGGACGCTCAGCCCTGTCCCGGGTTCCTGGTCGCCATGCCGCTGCCGCCTGCTCCACACGTCGCTGTGGGGTCTGTCAGTGTGTGTTGTCACCAGAGGTCCTGGTCCGAACAAGTCCAGGGCTGCCACAGGCCATCCTCCTACGGTAGGGGCCAGCAAGTCCCTGGCAAGCGGCTGTACGGTTCAGACGGACAGACTCCAGGAAGGGACGCCTCGTCTCCAGAGGCTGTGGGGTCAAGAGCATCATTCTCGGTGGGGAGAAATGAGCCCCTGGGAGTCTCACCACCCACCACGGAGGGCGCATCCGACACGGGCAACGACGTGCAACACAGACGGAGCCTGGAAACACGGTCTGGTCCTCCTCTGTGAGTGACCAGTGTGTGCACCCCCCATCACACACACACACACCCTGCCCCAAACTGACCTATCGACAGCAGCAAAGTCAGCGGCGATAGCTGAGGCTGGTGGCCTTAGCTGGATGAGTCACAGACCAGAAGTTCCGTCTACTCTGAAGTTTCTGGAAGGCGTTGAAGCTTCTTTTCTTCTCTCTCTTGAATTTTTTCACTTTCTTTTCCTGCATCAAGAACCGCAGGTGTCACGATTCCCCGAAAGCCCCTCATTTCTGGCGGCTCCTTTTCAGGTGCTTCCTGTGCGGCAGCAGGCACCCCAGGGTGTGCCCTCGGCTGGAGATCCACTCTCCCTGTGACCACGGGGTGTCCCCGAGCCCCACTTTACTGACGGAGGAGCAGGAGCAACCAGAGGACACGTGCCCAGCCATGGGCCATGACCCGTGGCACCTGAACCCGAGCGGTCACCTCCAGTCTCGCCCTCAGCCACCCTCGACATGGCTGCCACTTCAAACTGTCCCCAAAATCCCCCTCCACCGGCACTCCCCGGCTCTGCCCCGCCCGTCCCCACCACACGCCACACCTTCCCTCGATCGAACTCTTCGTCCCAGTTGTCAATGACAGTGGCTGTGCGGGCCAGCCGGCTGTCCTGCATGGCGTCCTGACTGACCGCCGACACCTCGCCGTCCCACGTCAGAACTGCGAAACAGACGCACACATCAGCACCTTGGTGGGCTCCCAGCTGCCCGGGGGACTTACTTCACGGACAAAGTTTACAAACCAGGCTGCTCTCCTCCTAGGTACTCAAAACTTCCAAGTTCCACCCTCTGGTGAAAGGACACTCGGGGACGGAAAAGGGGAGGGACAGAGTGGTCTCCTTTGTGCAGGGCAGTCAGTGATTCTGTCTCTCAAAGAGCAAACACTAACTCTCCAAACCGCCAACCTACAAAATTTAGTTCTTTTTAAACCCATGCCCTCATCTGAGAAACAAGATCTCGTGTTCCTTCTCCAAGTCTGAATTAGAAAACAATGTTCCAAATGAGAACTTACGGCAGAAGTGCTGGACGAGCTTTCCCGTCCGCTCCCCCGACCCAGATTAACGCTGTCCCCGGGGGGCCTGCCCAGAGGCGGCCACCCTGCTCACTCCCCTGCTCCCGCACCCCAGGGAGAAGCTGCTCTGGGTCCCTCCACAGACAGCACTCGCCCACAGGGCTCTTGACCTTCATGCAATGGCTGTGGGGGTCGGGGGGGGCATCAGATGTTCACGGTCCATTTCCTGTCCATCTTCAGAGCCAAGTGACGACTGGGCGCCAGGCTCAGCAGGACCCATCTCGGCCCTCCCCACCCCTAGAGAGCCAATCGCAGGAAGACAGAAGTCCAGTCGCAAAACCAGTACCTCTTCTGCCGTAGGCCTTATCAGATGAGTACTTGAGCAGTTCCTGGACCACGTCGGATATTCTCTCTCTGTCCCAGGATACAGGAGGAGCCCGTCCCAGCCCTGCAATCCGAGGAACACTTACACACATTAAAATAAATCACCGAGGAAACCATCGTATACCTTTCGTTTACAACAGAATCAAAGAACCCACTAAGGACAAATCCTTGAAATAACACGTAAAAACCAAGTTCTCCCTTCCGGCCCGTGACAAGGGAGTTAGTTATTCTTTCTCAATAGAAGACACTACTGGACAAATCAACTGTGGAAAAGATGAAAACCCAAACACCGGAAACAAAACAAAACCCTATAGGCAGCCTCGAGTCCTCGGTCTGACGGAAGAAGGAGAAAAGGGGGTCCGAATGGAAGCTCCCTCAGCCGCGGGGACCTGGAGCGACGACAAAATGCTGCCCCGTCCCCACAGCTCTACAGGGCAGCTCCTGTCCCCCACACCCACCCTCTGAGCCCGGTGGCCCAGCAGCATCTCCCGCTCGGCCAGTGTGCTCGCCAAGCAACTGACCCCGAGGTCTGGTGACGCCCCCCCCCATGCAGGCTTTCCCCCAGTGACACGTCAGCCACCCGCTGGCTGTACTTACTCCTCACTGCCTAGCAGCTGGTGCTTTGCAATGTAATTATTAAAATTCCATGTGTATTCATAAATTCGTTTCTCTGGAGACTGACAGACATAAGCCAACCCCCAGGGGCCTGCGTGCCCCCAAAGCACTAATAGAACTGGACCCACAGATGGCAGAGCAGACCCCCCGGGACCTGCTGCCTGGGGGCCCTTCCCGAGAAGCTGGCTGTTTCTACCCTTCGTTCAACAGACACGTTCTCTCAGGACAGCCCAGCGAGCCCAGCTGGCCACTCAGCCTGAGCCCAGCCGTAGCCCATGGAAACTGAACGGCAAGGGCCACGCGATTTCAGAGAGGCCGCTGCAGAGAGGGGCCAAGGGGCTCAGCTTCTGACCCCAGTGCTCTACATTCAAGCAGCACACAAAAACTCCAGGCTGGGCGGCCCAGGAGTCAGCCCAGTGGGAAGGTTTAGACGGGAACAGCCTCAAATCTGTGTTAACAGAATGTGTCAAGTTTATGGTTACCCATCTTTCCTATGGACGGGCAGCTATGGCTGATGCTTTGCCGGGTGAGGACACTGTGGCCTGACGGCTCAAAGGGGCAGACTTGGGGCAGGGGTGAGAGGCCTTTGAACTGGCCCTTCCCGCTGCACACCCGCCTTGAGATGCAGGCAGAGGCCCACCCCGCCCCCTGCTGCCCTGCCCAGGACACACCTATGGGGTCCCCAGGAGTGGGGCAGGCAGAGCCCCTTCGACCCTCAGGCTCGTTCTCATCTACTTCCTGCCACAACTCCTGCTTCCGTTTTTTCTTTTCTTTTTCCTGGGTGATGCCACAGGGGTCTCTGGCTGGACGGTGTCTGAGGGAGAGCCGCTCCTAAGAACCAGAGTCAACAGTCAGCCCCAAGCAAACTGAGGCCCAAACACCCCATGAACTTCAGCTGGAGTGTGCCTCGCCCTGCAGGACAGCCCCCTGGAGACACTATCAGAACCCGACCTGGACAGAGCATGCCAGCTGTCCACCTCCACGGCCCAGAGGGGCACACAAGTGCGTCTTGTAACCCTCCCCGAGGCAAGTCCTCCTGATTGGATGATCTGACCACAGCCCTGCCTGGCCAGGTCACATGACCTCCTGGAACAGAAGATGCTGGCCGGGTCTGGAACGCTGCCTCCACTCGCCATCCCACTGGGACACTTGAGGACATGGTCACGTCCCAGAGGTCCGGGCAGCACCTCTACTTCCAGACAGCCACCCGCCTGGGAGTGGACCGTGTGTCTGTCAGAGCGGGTGCAGGGCTGCCCGGCCCCTCGCTCTTACCCAAGCCAAGGTGGGTCCTGGGGGAGGCAGTCTTCTCCACCAAGGCTCTCCGCTCCCCTCCTCCTCTTCTTTCTGTTGCTCACGGGGTGGCCATCGGTCACACATCCCTCAAGCCACCCGTTCCCCAGGCGCTGGCTGTTCTCTTGCTGCTGTCCACTCCCTTCCTCCAGTCTGTCCATGGGCAGCCCTACCCGGCTCTCCATCCTGCACTCAGGACCCCAGGGCTGCCTCTGCACCTTCCCCTCCTGCCGGGAGGAGGCATCTGTGTCCCCTGTCTGCCTCCTCTTCCTCCTCCTCCTCTTTCCAGGAGGGGCTGCAGTGGCTGTGCTGGCCTCCAAGCCCCGGGTCTCCCCCACAGGGCTCTTCTTCCTCTTCTTACGGAGGATCTGGGGTGGCTCGCTGGCCTCTAGCAGCTGGTGTGGAGGGGCTCTGATGCCCCCGTTGACCTGAGGCAGGGGAGCAGAGGCGGACGAGCAGCTCCGAGGGTCTGATGTCCCAAAAGGCTGGGAGCTACTGGACAGTGACGAGGTGCAGGGGCCGGGATGGGGCTTCAGATGGCTGGATGGTCTGGGAGCAGGTGAAACAGCCCTGCAGGGACAGCCAGGCAGTGAGGATGGGCTGAGCTCTATCCATCTGCCCTCCCTCAGCCCCTTCCCATTTAGGTAAGGACTTTAAGTGGTTTTTCCCCATGAACATCAGATATACACGCATAATGTGGAAATGAGAAAACACAGGCTGACAAAGTTCAAACCTTCTTAAGATCAAAGTTACTAAACATCATCATATATCTATCAGTTTCGCATCACCAAGCAGTTTAAACTATTTTTGCAAACTCTTGAAGTTTTAAATTTCCAACACAAAGAGGAAAGCTGCACTAAACGATAAATTTCCAGCCTCCACAAGTCTCCAGGTGCTCCGGCACAGGAAGGGAGCCTTAGGAGAAAGGCGGGTACAAGCCCACACCCCTTCCACTGGTCCCCTCCTGTGACTTTCTTCTGAAAGCTGAGGGTCAGGAAAATCAGGGAAACACAGCAAGATCACACAGCAGGACGAGTGGGGGGCAGGGTCTGGGGCCGAATCAGACTAGACTCTTGGATCTGCCTCTCGCCAGCTACGTGACCTCGGAAAAGTCAACTTCCCACTCCGAGCCACAATTTCCTCATCTGTGAGTGCGTGACAATAATGCCTCTCCCAAGGGTAACTGAATTAAACAGGACTGTTTCGTCATCATCTAAATCAGAACAAACTCTGACGGCCACGTACGAGCTGCACTACTATGTCACGTGACTCTGCGCTTTCTGGAATTTAAAAAGAAAAAGGTTATGCACCAAAGAAACAGAGAAAAAATACCCAATCAATGCCTTAAATGTTCAAGGACCTACTATGTGCAAAAACACTGTGCCAGGAGTGAGCAAGGGAGAGGCTGTGGAGTGCTGGGTTAGGGGAAGGGCGGGGTCCTCTGAGTGCGCAATGGGGGGGGTGCCCCGGACGTGCAACCAGAACGAGTTGAGGGGTGGGGAGCGCATGTTGGCACCACAGCAAGCACCAGACCTACCCGAACCTCTCATGGCCTCGCCCATCTGTCTCTCTCCCTTCTCTCCCTCCTTCCTCTCCTCCTTCCTTCTTTCCTCCCTCCCTTCTCCCTGCCCCCCAGCTGCCAAACACCTTGACAGCCCCTCAGCCATCATTTATCAGAAATTCTCAGCTTTTTGCCACTGTGCACACTCAGGAGGGTGAGCACCCTCGTGCAGCACTTGTGGGGAGGCAATAGCCCGCACCTCCGGGAGGGGCGTCTACCCAGGAGCCCGAAAAGCTCCCACAGAACCAGGCGTTCTGCTCCAGAAGCCAGGGCGAAGGGCCCAAGGCCCACTAGGGGAGGCTCTGCAGGGCTAGGGCGACAGGCCCCACCCACCCTGAGACAAGCCTGGGGAGTGGCTGGGAGACACAAGGACCGCGCGGGACCCTGGGCTCACGCGGGGTCTATTCGGAACGCCCCCTTTCTCTTCTCCTTCGGGGTCCTGTCACGGGGCCGGGGAGCCACAGGCAGCTCAGTTCACAGCACACCCAGTGCTATGTGCATGTGGCAGACAGACAGGAGAAGAGGACAAAATGAAGACACCAGGACTGCGGGGACCCTGCTGCCTCTGACCCAACGTCACCAGGAGGACCTGGAGAGACCAGGGAGACCCGTGCCCGCGCAGCTGCACATGCAGCACCGGGCGGGGCGGCCAGCCGCGCTCACCTGGTTGCACTGACAGGCCAGGTGGAGGTGACGACGGGGTGAGCGGGTTTCCTGGGGTAGGTGAGGTCGGAGGATGGAGAGAGGGGAGGCGGACGGAGGTCATTGCCGGTTGCCCTCCGCAGGGTGCTGGCCTGTAGTTATTGACATAAATAAAAACTTGGTGGTCTAAAAAAGGTTGCCGTGAGTGAAGAGGGAAAACAAGAAGAAAAGAAAAAGAAAAGAAAAAACAAAGGAGCCCAGAAAGAGGGACGAGAGGACAGAGGGAGAAAAAACAAACAGAAAGGGAGAGTGAGGGGGGAGAGTGGCGGGAGAAGAATCAGAAGTGTCTCTGGTTAGAACCGAAAAGGAAGAAGGAAGGAAGTTCAGCAAAAATCTCAGCACGACGTTCCATCCCGGAGCTTCGAGCTGCACACGGAGGCACCAGCCAGCCCGTGTCCTCTGTGTCCCCGCCTGCCCGACTGATCCCAAGTCTCCCTGAGGCCATCCGTCTAGAGACCCAGACGGGGGACCGCGGGGCACCCCAGCCCATCAGCTGCCGGCATCATGCAGGCCAGCCCCTGCCCCCACCTGCAAACACCCAGGAATGAACGACAGCTTGGCCCCCGGGCGGCCAAATGCCCCCCACTGCCGCCCACCCCCTCAACTGAAGCCAAACGCGCTCTCCGACCCCCTCCCCGACACACTGTCAGGCCCGAGGTGTCCACACACCCACCTTCTTGGCAGAAAGGGCTGGTTTTTTGGCTGGTGGAGGAGACGTGGCGGTGGTGGGCTCGGGGGCGCAGCTGCTAGGGACAGGGACCCTGGGCTTCGTCCCCTTGGTGTCCTCCTGGGGCGGCGGCGTCTTGGACGGGCCGGCAGCGGCAGAGTCGGTTCCCTGAGCATCACGGAGTGGGGTGGC